CGCGTTTATATTGTGTAGCGTCTTTAATTGTCTGGGCAACGAAGCGCCTGGAAAATGTTCCTGTGAAGATGTTCTGAACGTGATAATTTGGGCTGTTTTTCTTATTGCTTGTTCTCTTGAGACTCCATTTGGTAAATCAGCAACAGTTTTTGGTGTTGTAAGAGCGTTTCTACATTTTCTGTTGAGGAAATTGATTGCAGAAATTGTGGTTTGCATGTTTCCATTCTTATTCACTCAGAATCCCAGCTGAAATAATAATCAGTATTGTGGCGAGAGGCTGGAAATGATTGACTGGAAGGTAAGAAGTTGAAGACGTGTAGATGACAGGATTGGGTAAAATTCAGAGTTTATGATTTGACTCTTCTCCGTGTGAATTTGAATTGAATTGGCCACGACACATAGGAAGTTGAATTCTAATTAGAATTGGAATGACATGTTTTGTTTTACAATCTTGTAAACCTGGTCATCTTTTTTGGCTCATTTTTTGGACTTTAAAGATAAATTAGAATGTTTTTTGTAAGTGCTTTTCCATTATAGTCCATATAATAAAATTAATCTTAAATTAATACAAAAGTGTTTAGTATTATTATTATTTATTATCTATATACTATTATAATTTTTTTCATATTTTGAATTAGCTTTTTATATTTTTATTTTCATTTTAATTTTAGTTTAGGATTTAATCATTTAAAAATATTTCTATATAGTGTTAATTTTAGTTTAATTTACAGGACAGTTTCACAGCATGTGAAACTAATTTCAGTGAAATATTTATAATAAAATTAATCTTAAATTAATACACAAGTGTTTAGTATTATTATTATTTATTATCTATATACTATTATAATTGTTTTCATATTTTGAATTAGCTTTTTATATTTTTATTTTCATTTTAATTTTAGTTTAGGATTTAATCATTTTAAAATATTTCTATATAGTGTTAATTTTAGTTTAATTTACAGGACAGTTTCACAGCATGTGAAACTAATTTCAGTGAAATATTAAAATGTAAATAGTTGTTAATCAATAATTATTTGAGTTTTATTTTGTAGTTTTAGTACTTAATCTTAGGGGGCTTTCACACTAGTACTTTTATTGCACACCGGGGTTAGTTTGACCCGTTCACTCACAGACGACAATGAGGATCTTTTGCCTCGTTTTTGTCTGTGAATAATGGGCCGTGTGAAGGTGGGGCCGAACACTGTCCTGCATGATGTCAGGCTCTGAGCTCACCTGTGTCCGTCCTCCGTATGAAAACATGTACTTTAGAGAGGAACGGGTTCAGTTTAGTGCTAAAATACAGGTTGAGCTGTTTTATGGCTCCAGGAGCTTCAGATTATCACATAAGACTCGAGTTAAAGTGAAACCAGTGAATGTACATCTACATGAATCATTCACTCTATTGACAGAGTTTTATGAAAGTTTCCATGTTTCCAAGTATTGCAAGGCTGGTATATAAAAACAAAAAGAAATAGAGAGGAGAAAAAAAAAATATATATATAAAATTTAGAATTCTATTAATTTTATATTTATAATTATAAAAATTTCTTTATATGTGTGAGTCATTAAGTATAGTAATGATATAGTGCTTTTCTACTTAATTTATGATGATTATGTATTACTCAGAAGGTTGGACATCACTCTTGGATGTGGTTGTGTGTTGATGAATGATCATGACAGCGGTTGTTTACTGTACACTAATGTGTTCTGATGGCTCATGCAGTTAAACAGATTGAGTTGTTTGTGGTGTTGTTGAAGGTTTTCCTTTAGGCTCCTGTGTCATGCATTTGTGTTACGTGCACATCAGGTTTCAGGGGAACGACACGTGTGTGTGAGATGTGTGTGTGTGTGTGTGTGTGTGAGACGTGTGTGTGTGTGTGTGGGTGT